CAAGGGGTGGTCAAGGGTACAGGAGAGAAACCTTCACCAAACCACATATGCTCCCAGTGTCCAAGCTAAAATGTCCCCTCTCCCACCATGGAGCCCACCCTGCCATCTGTCACATTAAGGTGGGTTCAAGGCACTCTGGCCTAGACTGTGCGCATGTGTGTGTGTGTAAGCCTGTGTTTGAAAATAGCAATCAGGTAAATAAATAAGATAGAGAGCGATGAAAACTGAAAGACAAAAACTTGAGAGAGAGAGAGAGAGAGAGAGAGAGAGAGAGAGAAAGAGAGAGGGGGGGAGGCAGGGGAGAGCGCACTGATCCATGTCTGTGCAATTGTGCATGAATGTGAGAGTTTACTTTCAGGGGTGGGTGTTTGGTCATGGTTCCCCCCCAGGGTGAGGCCTGGCACAGTTTAATGTCAGTTCGCTGATATAATGATTGAGCAATGTTGTGAAGATGCTGACAGGACACCTCTGTGACAACGTACTTACATACGTCCCAAACTTGCTCTTAGGTCAAAGAAAGGACACATAAAAAAATGTCAGTGTCAGTTCATGGGTAACAAGAATGTTCAATTATTTCACTAATGACTCAATCGTGCTCATTTCTTTGATAAAAGGTCAAAAAATGCATCCATTTAATTGATTTATTCAAAATATAAGTAAGGAGTCTTTTTCAATTTACAAGAAGAAGAATTCCTTATGACCTACATCTAACCTGTTAAATTTAAATTGCAATTTATAGATTTTCATATGTTGACAAATGAGCCTTTATATTTTAGTATACATTCAGTCCCATACATGACTTCTCGTCATAATAGGACAATAGCTGAAAGTGTGATAAAGGCTTTTGGTCGGAGTCTCTTTTGAGTCACTCACTGTAGCCCAGACTGTAGAACTGTTGACACTGTGAAGCTGACAACTATCAGATTATGTGTTAATTGGAAGGTGAGAAAGGTGTGAGGAGTAGTCAGAAAAGGCAAGACCTAAACAGAAAAGATTGTAGAGGAGAGACACGAAACAGAGGTTAAGAAAAAAAGTGAAGAAGAGAAAAAAACTAAACTGATCAAAGGAAGGATTAAGAGGAGCAGGGACACACAATTCATGCACGTACTGACAGATTATATCTGTGCAAGATAAATGAATTAATCCCAGGCTTAACTGGTTTACAAGCTCCATTAGGCAAACTTTCAAGATGTCTTTAAAGTGAAGCAAACTGAAGTGTGTGGCTGTGTTGGGAATTTTAAGTGTTATAAAAGAAGCAACATTTTCCTAGATAGATTGTCAAATCTGACAGTTGTCAATGAGTTTGTGTCCATGCTTTATGCAATCAAATCACCTGAAAAAAGAAGCTGTTTCAGAAAATTCATATTTAAAAAAAAAGAAGCTTTCCAATAGAATCAATGAAAGTCTGACATTTTCAACCAACTACAACAATATCTATATGTTTTTCAGCAACACCCTGGAAGACCCAGTGCAATTAAATTAAATTACTGTAATCTGTGTTTTCTTGTTGCGATTATATAACAAGATCTGCCTTAAACCAATAAAGGACATTTAGTTAAATCCCTTTCTCACTGCTAGTGTGCCTTAAGTAAGCCTTAAGTAATCCCATGGGTTTCCCTGGCTCTACATGTGATTTTTTCAAGAGTATTTTTTATTTGTCAGTAGTGCAATACATCCCACGATCTGGTTCTTAACACACATGCATTTAAAGGTGAGTACCTTACAATTGTTAAAAACTGTTTATATATTTATATATATTTAACAGAGTGTCTGTTATTCAGTTCGGTCAGTTATTTAACATGTCATCTTGTCCAGCAGTGATGTCATTGTGTCTAGGAGTGAAGCCTCAACACAACACACAGAAGTAGCTTTCACAACGCAGTCGAATACTACATGCATTAAACACCCTTACTGTACAGCTGTTAATAGGCTGTACATTTTCAGGTGACACTGCTCAAAATATGATATCAACAGCGCCACAATTTCTGCATGCATATGTGTTGAGGTGTAAACTGATAGGGTCTTTTGTTGTTGGAACTTTTCAAACCAACTTTAGAACCTCAAAGTAGATATGTGCATTTTGATCTTTTGTTTGGACTACTGGCTATGACTGATTCAAACAAAACATCAAGAGTCCTAATTACAAATAGCCAAAAACTAACAAAACCTGAATAAATATAAATAATCAGGGTAGAATAAGTTCAGTTAACAAATGGCACACATGCACACATACTGTGTCAGACAAACTGAGCTGGGTCTCCAGGCATGGATTATCACCTTGTTCAGAAAATTCATAAAGGTGATTGATGATTTTAATTAAATGTTCGGACACTTCTGGAAGCTGACAGAGAGCTGGAGCGCCTCTTTTAGGACTTGGAGGAATCTGGCATGGACCCAAACACTGCTCTGGCTACCTGCAACGATCCAGCCTAGCAGGCTCGAATCTATTAGTCCGAGCAAACTCCAATCAGCAGTCAGAGTATTTTACACACCTGATTTTCTTCAGTGCTATAAAGACGGGGTTTAAATCCTCTGGAAAGCAGAAGCAAAAGGCAAAGCCCATTTTCTCCAGACCGCAGCTATCACAAGCAGTTACTGCTGTGATCTACCTTGCTGCTTGTTACACAAACCAAAGCCTCTGTCAGCACAGGTTAAGGCCGACTTGCTGGTATAAGTATTGTGCTCTGACCCAGATCAATGTCTAAAGTGATTTATTCTCAGCTGGAGCAGCTTCTAAGGTCTGCTCTGGCCCTGAATTGGAAGTGATTGTAGCTTAAAGACCACTAATATCACAATCATAAAGGACAGGTGCAGGATTTAGATTTAACTTGATGAAACTAAAACTATACTTAAATTATTGGGGCTGGGAACAATTCTTGTCTTCATCATTATTATATTGTATTGAGCAGTAAGGCTCTCACATGCATTATATAGATAATACCCACTTCCCAATATGTCTAAACACTATATTTATGGCAAACGTCAGAGAAGAGTAATCAGAGATGTGAGGGTTTTATCAAACCAGTCACACATAGGACCTGATTAAGCTTTGAGTTAAAATGCAGCTTGGGTCAGATATCATTGTGCAGCAAGTTTGCTAGATTTAACTTATGGATAAATAAAGATGATTGAGATTGAAGGAACTCAAATTGAGACATATTTTAGGGTTTTTATTACTGGAAGCAAAAATCACAGATAGCTTCTTTTAAAAAAAAGTATTTCTAAAATACATTTCCAACCCTAGTTTAAAGTTTGTGCAATAATTGAGTTCATGCTTAAGACTAATAATGTCAGGTTTAAAAAAACAAACTGCTTTGTTAGTTTAATGATCAAAACTAAATATTTTACCATTTGTTCTGGATGAATATTCTCCTTAAGGGGTATTGCACCAAAAACTTAAAACTTAAAATGTATAACTTAAAAAATAAAATAACTTCTAAAAATAATTTGACTGCCCGTTCAGACGATAGATTAAAATATGATCCTACCCTCTTTTCTCACTACTATCCTAGATTACTTATTATATGTCTTTCAGTACATAATATTTGGTATAGATTTTTCTTTTTTAGATTAAATATTTGGGATTTTTATGCCATTATGAGAGAAAGAGGAGTATATAGAGTGAACGATCGGAGAGAGAGAGAGAGTGGGGAATGACATCCAGGAGGAGGAACAGGTCCGATCAAACCCCGCCCGCCTGCTTCACGGTCTACAGCTTCTCTACATGGGACATACAAACAAACCATCCCGCTTCAAGGACTACAGCCTCTGTACCCTTCTTTTTATTGTTATTTAGATATTCTTAATTAATCCCATGAGAGGATTGTTGTCAGTTGCTGAACATGCTGCACACACTGGCTGAAATACACACACATGCACAAACAGGATCCTATGGACTTGCACTAATGGAGAGATGTCAGAGTAAGGGGGGACGCCCACAGCGAGCGCTCCTGAGAAGGTGGGCACGGTTCTGCCTGAGGGCAGAGCTCAGGAAGTGTCCTGGCACCTCCCCAGCTAACACACCTATTTCGATTGAGTGTAGTCCTACTCAAGCAGTGTCTGACCACATATATGCCTACACTTTAAAGAGGTTTTTTACACGGCCAAACAAAAAAAAAGGATCTGTTTTTTCTGCTGCAATTGTCTCTGCATTGGTAGCAGGCTGTGGTTTTGTCTGTGCATGAAATCCAGTTAGGTTATCTGTCTTTGTTTGCATTGTTGCAGTAGTCTATCTGTTGTGTTTTCATTTCCATTTCTTTGTTAATCTTTTGGGCATTTAAGCTGCTGAGGATTGTGTGTGTGCTCTAACTCGGTGCCAGGTGTTGTGCTGTTCACGCTCCCTGCCTTTTGGCCCACTTGGGGATCAACAGCTACCCTCATGTACACACACACACAAGAACCCCCCCCCACACACACACCTTTTTTTACCTTTCTTGTTCTCATCTATCATCGCCTGATTTTCTTTTCAAACAGAATCTTCCCGATATCATCACTCTGTATCTATTGTGTGTGATGCTGTGCTACTTTCTGCCAGTTTATCCAGGAGTACTCTCTTTCTCCCCCCGATGACCTGACTGCCCGTTCAAACATATGTCTGTGTTGCCTGGGTTGAATTTTGTCTCGTTTTTTTCTCTCGCTGCATACACACCTTCACACACACGCAAACTCGGACACACACCTGTCACACAAAGGATGGAGGGGGTCATGTCCATGAAGCCTTCCAATCTGCTCACTTTATCAGTGGTGCAGCACAGACTCACCAGAGATGATTCATCACAAGACAAACTCACAAATCATTTGAAATAGAAAGGGAAAGCTCTCCTCTATGCTCTGTGATGCAGAAAACAATCCAAACACACGACCTCAACTTTTTTCAGCTTTTACACTTTACACTCTTTTCAGCATCCAGTGAGCATATATCGACTTACACGCTTCTCTCAAGCACCAACTGTTAACTCTCAATTTTTACTTCCACACTTAAATATACAACCAACACTTACCGTGAGGGTAGGTACGGCTGTGACGAGCGAGTAGATGAGCACAGGGGGGATCTTGCTGGTGTCGTCCGGACCCGGGTAGGGCTTGGAGAATGTCTTGTCGTAGCAGAAGAAGCCCTGGATGTGCACAGGAAACGTGTCCGTGTACTCAAAGTAGTAAGCCAGCAGCACAGTCCCAGCCATGATCACCAGCTGGAAATAGAACATGATCCCTCCGTTAAGAAGTGAGAGGACGAGCGATGAAGCGGAGGATGGAGAGGCGGAGGAGGTGGAAGAGGAAAAGGAAGAAGAAGAAGGAGAAGAAGTAGAGAGGAGGGGGAGAGAGTCAAGTCCCTGTCCCCCTCAGCCACGGGTACATGCATAGGAAATATGGAGCAAGAGTGACTTAGAGTGAGAGGTTCAGTGTTTGGATCCGAGTAAAAGAGGGGAAAAGGAGACGAGAAAGAGAAAAGGAAATCTGCAGGAGGAGGCTCGCTCTTCAAGAGATGAAAATGAGAACAAAACAAAACAAAGAATAAAAGAGTGCTCCGCAAGACCTAATAGCAGAGAACTGCTCAGGGAGTGAGCAAGAGACTCAGAGAGCAGTGAGAGAGAAAGAGAGAGAGAGAGAGAGAGAGAGAGAGAGCGGGACTCTGAGTGCGAGATATAGACAGAGAGATGGAGATAGGAAGGGAGGTGGGAAGTTGAGAGAAAAAGGGGGGTGCAGCTTTTCTGCTGCCAGCACTGAAATCTACTACAGTTGAGCTGTGGGTATATTTATAGATGTGTGTGTGTGTGTGTGTGTGTGTGTGTGTGTGTGTGTGTGTGTGTGTGTGAGTGTGTGTGTGTGTGTGTGTGTGTGTGTGTGTGTGTGTGTGTGTGTGTGTGTGTGTGTGTGTGTGTGTGTGTGTGTGTGTGTGTGTGGTTGTAAGGTCATGTGAATGAGAGGATGAAGTGTGTTTTTGTCTTCAATGTGGTTTCTGCTCACATCTGCATAAAAAGATAAATGCCAAAAAAAAGAGTCATAAAATAATAAAAATACAAACAATGCAGCTAGTTTGTCAACAAACAATACAAAGTTCACATTTCGTGCAGACAAAAACACCTTGTTGGATTTCAATATGAATATGAATATATATCATTTAGAACTCAATTCTCTACATATAAAGTCAACACAATTACATATTTTATTATTAACTTTATGTGTATTTGTTATCACGAGAAAGAGGGGTGTTTTTATGTGATCAAATCAGATTTAGTGAGTCTCCATTTGCAAGAGCTTTCAGGGATCCAGCCCTTCACTAGCTGGTTAATACAATGTGTCAATTTAGACTTATTATTTAGAATTATATTTTGCATTTGTACAATGTAAGAAAAAATGTGTTAAAATGATTTGAATTTCTGAATGTATTTATGAATGTAAAAACTAATGAGGCTCAACCAATAGAGCAGCATTAACAGCACTGATTTATCCGATTTTATCTGCATTGTTGTGTTTCACTGACCAGCCTTATTCTTCTCAGCTCAACTGAGCCTTTTAGTGTCTTTAAGCTCATTGTTTTGTGCTACTGTTTTGTTTCACATTTACAGACCTATACAATTGCTGCAACAGGAAACAGGAAAGTTTAGGCTAAAAAAACTGACATTTCTCTGTGTACCTGTTCAGTACCAAATAATGAACAGACAAAGTGAGTATCCTGCTGGTTATCAAAGCGCACTGTTAAATGGCATATTTGTTTCATATCTCTGACTACTGGAGGTTCAAAAGATCAGTGTTTGCCATATAAAAAGTTGTCCTGACCTTTTTCCCGTCAAAAATTCTCTTTTATGACCTTTAAGGCAACCCAACTTTTTACAAACTTTTGCTTTAATTAAAAGTTTTAAACAATTGGACAGAATGACATGTTTTAACATTGAGAAGGTGGAGAGGTAGAGTGACAGTTAGAAGCTCTATGTGGAGCTCAGAGTTGTTAACCTCTGACGGCTAAACAAACATAGCTGCTTCTCTGCAGAACAAGAACGGTGTAAATATCTAAAAATGCAATCCGACTATCACAAAAAAAAACATGCACACTTAAAACCACAGACTCACGTGTGCCCACACAGGAGGACAGGTGATTTTATTTATAACACTGTTTTCTTCTCTTCTATTTATTTCCTTGTATGAAATCATCCTCCATTTTTGCCTCATTAAAGATTTTTTTTCTAGATTCGGTTGCCATGGTGAAGTAAAAGACTCAGAATAAGCTTTTTTATTGTTCTGTCATTTTAAGAAGGTATTGTTAAAGTCCGTGTGGAGCGGTGTCATTACAGTAATCAACAGAAATCAAAGCAGCAGCTTGTATATCTGTATGAGCACGTTAGAGGTAAAATGCTGTTCACTCCCCTGATGAGAGCTCTTTGATTGGTTGCTTTGTGTGAGATGGGGTGTTTGATTTGGAGCGACTCATGGTGGCTAATCTTGTTTTCCTGTTTGTTAGCATAGCGTTTACCCAGCATATTATGACTGGATCTGACTCACTAGCTACTGTATACTGTAAATCCATTTCTTGATTGTGAGTTTTAGTTTATATGTTTACATTCTAAAAGCAACTCAGAAGAGGCTTAATTTGATGAGGAATGTGTGCAAAAAGGGACTGAGGTGTAGCTGATGTTAGTGTACTGTAAAAAGAAACTGTGTTTGTCAGCATGTGGCATTAACTGACTTTGCTCAAGAGTGGAAAAGAGGCTGAGAATGTAATATCTGGTTTTTTTTCATGGAAATCAAATAATGTTAAAATAATTATTTTATCTTAGTTGATTATAATTTAGTCATTTATTTCTGATTGTTTTGTGTATTTTTACCGAATGGAGTAGCCTTGTGGGTGTATTTTTCTCAACAGTTGCTCATGCACGTGAATAAAGTGGATAGAGAAACAAATGGCTCAATGATAATCTGGATAAATCCACCATATTTTTGTTACATTACAACACAGACTTAGACCTTCCATCCATCCATCCATCCTTTATCTATACTGCTTATCCCGTTTGGGGATGAGCAGCTGTACTGGCGACCAGTCCAGGTTGTAACTGATATTCAGAGACAGACAAGCAGCCGCACTCACATTCATACCTTCAATTTTCCAACAAACATGTCTTTATACGTTGCGTGCGTGCACAAGGAGAACATGCAAACTCTACATAGAAAGGCACCTGCACAGCCAGGGATTTGAACCATTGCTACCATCTTTTTGTTAAGAAACAACACTTACCACTGTGCAGCCCAGATTTTGACCTACTGTGTAAAATCTTTTTCCCCAAAGTCAAGATTCACTGCTTATTGTATGGATTTGCCAGCTGTTCATGGATTTTGTTTTGTGGGTGACCGCAGCTTCACACTGACAACTTTCTCACTTCCCCCTGCTCACATTTAAGCACTCACTCACACTCTTCTGCTTGTTGTCATCACATTATGACGCCTGTATTGCCCCCCCCCCCCCCCCCCCTTCTGTCTTGACCTCTCATCAGAAAAGAGTGGCCATTAACAGAAGGGTGACCTGCTTTAGAGGAAATAACTCAACATAGTGGGATATGTAAAAGGAAATCAATAGCAGTAAAAAGAGCGCAGGCAAGATGAAAGGTCTGATTCTGGAGCTGTCACAGAGGGACTTGATGCTGCGTGTTAAAGTGTAAAGACTGAAGAGTGTCATCCATCTTTCCTAAGATTTCATCATCTCCCTCTAAGCCTGCCTTCAAATCATCACCACATGTAATATAGTCTTAATACCTGCCAGATTATCACGCATTACCACACTTATATTCCATTACTTACTGACATTAAATCTGCTCACTTAATTCAGCTTTCATGACATTTTGAAAAGCTTCCCGTCCTTCCACATTCTCCTGAAACATGCAACAAGTAGAGCAGGAAAAGAGTGTTATTGATCTCTGAGGGGCAGTATAAGAGAGCTCATCAGGGATAAATCAAGAGGGCTTATCTGCTCCTCCAACCCGGTACTCCTCATGACTGATCTTTGATGAATGGAAGACAAACGGTGAGTAACAAAGTGAACATATTAAGGATTGAGCTGTCTCTACATCGGAATTTAAATTAAAGAAACATTTATTTTAGCCCGCTGAAGTGACTGAAACGCCACACCTTTTTATTCCACATCAGAGACATCCTTGACAAGTTTTCAAATAGAAAATATGCAGATGATGTGATGCTGCACTCTGACAAGACAAATAAGCAAGAGAAAATGTAGCAAGATAAGATGTACTGGGAAAATTCAACCAATGAAATTGTGTTTTGTTTCTTTTTCTGTTGTGATGACTTCATCTTTATGTAAGATGAATTCATCATTGAATTGTATTGTAGTATACTGTATGTTTACCAAGTGTAAGCTATAATATTTCTAAAGAACACAGGTATACTTGGTGTATGAAATTTGGTCAATTGTAGCATTTAACATTGATAAATAAATACAATAAAACAGAAGGACAATACATGACAAGAATCGTTTAGTTAACACCAAAAGCCCTCCAGACTAAGATGTTCCTGTTTAACTTGATACCTCAGTGTACCAGAAGAGAATTGTCACTTTCTGTTTCTCTTTAAGCCGCTCCAGGTCCTCTCTTGCCTTTAAAAATTTGCTCAAAGTCCCAGCCTCGTCTCCCCCTGTCCACCCATCACACATTTCACATTAAAAATCACCCCCCCCCCTGTGTCTCAGCTGTTTCTGTCATTCTCCTTGTTACACTCATCACTCCCAACAGTTCCTTCACATCGATGACGCCAAGAGGCAGCAAGGCTTTACAACAGCGGTGACATCAAGACTACTGAAAACACGGCGCAGAGGGATTGGGCCATTTTGAGAACACTGTGGGAACGAGTTCAGGGAACAGCAACAGCCGGCGGCATGTGAAGGACCTGCCACTGCGGCTCTTAAAATATAATCTCCCTTCCTCCTTCTCTTAACCTGGATAGAAAACATGCCATCCTTGCATAAATCTGAATCTTTTTCCTCACGGATGAACAGCTTTACAAGGTTAGCCATATTTGATGAACAGTATTAATTCTTTATTAATATGAAGGGGGTTTTTGTGCTGAACACGTATCTAAATATAGTGCAGTCTGTGTTACCTAGGAATGAACTTACACAGCACAGAGCTTTAGATTTTAGGGCACTCTAAGAGCCTCATGTTTGTGTTTAAACTCTACACATTTATATTAT